ATAACGTAGGACATATGCATTAATTGATAAGTTATTCATATTAAACTAAAGGTCTCAATTAATCTTCCCTGTTTTCTAAGTATCCAAAAATTGACTCTTCCAACATGATATGCAAATCCCGGAAAAGATTTGAGAAAGAGATAGGAGTTTTAAAGACATATTCAACTAAAACCAAGAATCCATAAAACAGAAGGTGGAGAGTAGAGAGACCTTGTGGAGAGCAGTGCAAGAACAGGAAGAGAAGGCACAATCTTGAGAACCAAAGCTTTCTCTAGGAATTTCCAAGTTATAGGAACATTGTTTTCCCAGAAAATGTAAGAAACCAGGAAGTTGGCTAACTCAAAAGAAGGGAAAGACACCCCTGAAGAACTCATGTTCGCGGAAACTTGAATTGCCCACAATAGAGGGTCACTTCCATTTTCTTGGGCCAACTTTGTTAGCTCCAATACAGCATCCCAATAGCTGCACTGATCATAAGATGCTGACACCTCCTCCATTAGTGCTACTGATTCATCACTCTCAACTATGCGTCTTTGTGTGTGTTTCAGTGTGTGAAAAAGAGGTGCAGGAAGAAGGCGGTGGGATTACATGGATTATGGAACCGAATGTTTTCTGTATTGGACACTACTAGAGAGGAGAGAAGTCCGAAGAGTAGCAAAAGGTTGGTTGGAATGGCCTATGGCCTATGGCGTAGGGGGACTATAGAATAGTATAGTATGGTGTAATGTAGGTTAATGTGTTACATTGGTGATTCATGGTTGGTCTAGAATGTGAAAGTCAAACCAAAATGAGGGGCCTTGGAAGAATAATTAACAAATTGAGAGTGAAGGGGGAATCTGGGATTAGAATATGAGTTGCAGGGGGAAGTGTGGGCTGTAAAGAATTGACTGGTGCAAAGGAAATGCTAAAGTGCTGCATTGCTATAATGTCTGTATTTATCTTTGAGTAAACAACATTAATTAGTGCTATTTTATTTGTTTTGTGTTTGTGTGAATAGGAAGAGATCGGTGCCGAGCTTGAAATGACTCCGATGCCTTAAATTAGATGAATAGGAGGAATTCGCGAGTTGGAGATAAGTATAAAAGTCAAATAAAAAAATATTACTCCCTCCGTCCCGTTTTGTTAGTCTTGATTTTTTTTTCACACAGATTACGAAAGTGTAATTAATTTGGTTGAAAACATAAATTTAGATTAATAATTTCCTAAAATACCCTTATGCTAATCACGAAGAGTGCCAATTAATATCAGTTACAGCTAATGGATTAGTATTGGAGAAGCTCAATATATTCAATGCAGTGGGTTAGTATTTAATAACAATATATTAATAACAAGATATTTAATAAGGGTATTTTAGACAATTTAAAAGATTATTACATTTCTTAATGGGAAAGTGGACTATAATTTGGGACAGACGAAAAAGGAAAATAAAACTATCAAAGTGGGACAGAGGGAGAACCTTCTTTGTAAAGCAAAGGATCTATATCAGATTTTTATATGTCAAACGCGGGCGTCAGTCACGTCATAGCCGAAAATGAAATTCTGTGAGACTTCAATAGCCCCGTGTGGCTTTGGTGACTGCTTCAGTAAGGGCTGTGAAGCTTCAGTGTAAACTAAAGCCAAGGCCGGTCGCTAGGGTCCCTTCTTCTTTGGTGTTCAAGCGTACATATTGTAAAGCCAAGGCCTTGGCTTCATTAAGGCAATTTTACCCTTCTTTCTTTTTCCATTTTGGCTAATTCCAATAATTTTTGCCATATGCACTCAAACTCAAGGCCGGACAAAATAAATCCAGCTACCAAATGCAGTCCATTTTGCCAGAACTCATCCACAAGAAAAGAGGCAGATTCACAATGTGACATTCCAAAATGGCCGGTTGACATTTGGAATGGTGTAGTTGGCATACTTTCGATCTTCACATGCCAATGCCATCCGGGCCAATCTGATGCCAAATGCCTCTGCTCTCCATCCGTGAGAGACTTTCGATGATGATGCATGCAGTTTTGCAGTAGGTGTGAAATTGGTCGGTTGACATGCATAATTTTGGCATTAAATAGAAGGAAAATGGCTCTATAACCATATGTTCAAAGAAGATCTTAGAAAAGGACCATTCACCAATTTTTTGTCACAAGATGGATGACTGAAAGGACTGTTCATATTGACCTCAAAATTTAATTCACTAGTCAAAGGGCAAAATAAGATACATCAGGGCTTCTTTTTTTTTTTTTTTTTGTGTGGTGTAATTCACCTTAAAAATGGACGAATAATAAACCAAAATGCTATTCTTGAGTAGGTCAATCCAAAAAAAAAAAAAAGGCAAAGAAGTTGTGAGGGCACATCCGCCATTTACAATTGAAGTGATCAGACACTAATCTGGGCACCATATGGGTCACCCTTGTTTATGGCCTACAATAAAATCCCGGATGTATTGGATGCACAAGCTAAAATTCTTATATAGCAGACAGACCTATCAGTTACTATGTAGTATGATTCTTAGTATCCAACCAGACTAACTTGAAAAAAAAAAAAAAAAAACTCTCTTTAGATCATGTCCCTACAAGTGGATCAACATCACTAGTAACATCAGACAAATTCACACCAAACTCTAATCCCTTTTCTTTTCTTTTCTTGCATTTCTTTGTTGTCCCTCTTTAAGTTTAACTTTTCTTATTGATCATTCATGAACTCTTCCCCTGTCCAATCCATTGTATGTATGTCCAATATATATATATTCTAGCATTTAAAAAACAATAGTGGTTAAGGGTAGGTAAAGATGATGACATGGTGATATCCCTATCAGAGTTGGCCCCTGGTGATGATAAGCTTTTTATGCTATTGGTATGGAAAGCCGACTCCTTTCTCTGTCCTTTTTTTTCTTCCACTAAGTTCCCCATAGGCTTGTGTAGCCCTCCTCTTAACCTTTTTTATTGTTTGTTGTATTTTGGCTAAAAAGATATCATGCATTGGTAGGTGAGCACTAATGACTAAACTGAATCTATTAGGATTAGGAGGATTACTCTATAATCTATCTATTTACAACATGGAGGGCATCCATCATCTCAGCCTCAGAATCGTATGCAGGTGATCTGATCCAATCCCACAATTATTTTGTGACCGAGAAAAATTCTACCCTCCACTTCTCTACTGGATTAGGTACATTTACTTAGATGGAGTAATGCTATTATGTATAACCCTATAATAAGACATGCATGGCGAAAGGGATTAGTAGTATCATTTATGTGAGAGCGCTTAATGGTCATCTGAGATGTCTTATTACAATCTCTTACTAATATTTGGCAACACTTTGCAGCTGAATCAATCGTTGTCTTGTCTTGCTGTGCCAAGCGCCAACTACACATTTGTTTGTGATGATAGGCACGGTACAATGATGGTTGTGTTTACAAGTCAAGAAAAACTTGGAAAATGAAAAGCATGCCATGATCTTCGCGTTTGTCATGATGATGGATGGTAGACATTTATTCACATGCTAAGGCCATAATTAATCATAATAAAAGGGGCTTCTAATGGTCAATTTGCTGCATAAAAATCCATCTGCCATGGCTGCATTTTTAACCATCAAAAAGGGCATTAGGTGAAATGATTTGGTCGTGTATAAGAAGTACTAACTGCCCCCAGGTTGGTAAGATTTTGAGATGGTGGCTAAAATGGATAAAGAGAGCAAGTAGAGGAGGTTGAAAAGAAATGGAAAGGATAGGAATAAAAAGTTAGCAACCTCTTACCTACTACTTTTTTAACCCTTAACATTATACAGCAGCACTTAAACCCTGATTAAGATTGAAAAGCAGATTGCCCTTGTTTAGGAATTTTGCTTAGTTTGCAGGGATTTTCGTGTTTGATACAACAAAACAAAAAAAAAAAAATCTGGATATCCCCCCATTCACAGCCGAGACGGCCAAGGCAAGCAAACATGATTGAGAATGAACTGTAGTTGCCTCAAGGCGCTCCCAACAATAGAAAACTGCCGCTTAATCCTTTTCTGCTACGGCATAAGTATATATATATAGATTTGAGTTCTTGTGTTTGCGGTGGTTAATGAGTAGTTTTTAGTGGATCAAAAGAGACCAATAGGGGGGCAGGGCCCCAAGTTTGACAATGTCACTCTACCTACATCGACCAAGGAAGCCATGCCAGCTCCACCTCAATCAACCACCTCAGTGGAGCTACGAGGAAAAGAGCATCCACGATTCAAAAAGGAACAATGCCAAGTTGATCGAGTTGAAAAACATGATCAAGTTATATATATTTTAACCACCCCATTTTATCAGAGGATAATTGTCAAAACTAAACCATGACAACCAACAACAACAAAAAAAAAAAGAAGAAAGAACCTTCCCCAACAATATGCTGACTTCCTCATACTTTGTAACGATCATATTGCACATCTGGTTGTAACTACCATATTTCACATCCGGTTGATGTGATGTAAGGGGGGGCAAGTAGTCGCTGCATGAAGATAACTTATCCACTACCCACTTTCTGGAAAAACTGCAGTTCTTCAGTCCCAACACAAATTAATAAAATAAAATAAAAAAAAAAAAAAGACCAACTCAGTCCATTTTTTACATGACAGAATCAAATTTTGCAGCTTTGAGATGCACTAATCTAGTGGACAGACACCTAATAATGGATGCTCAGTGGAAGCATCGAAGAGTCATTTTCATTACCATTCATAGTGCCTTAATGCCATTCTATTATTTGCCAACGGTTCAACAACACCATCTGATGCAAAAATCCATCTATATATAGAACATGCTAGGTACAAAAAAGGCATGGAGATTACATAAGCAGCAGGAGCACCAAGCCCATTAACTGAAACTACTGTGTATGCTTATAAAGAAGATAAAAGGCAGGACGTCCATGTCGATATTTTGTCCACCGAATATTCATGATGATATGGATAAAAAAGCAACAAAAAAAAAGGGTGGACGTGAAGAGCAAACAAAATCATGATGGAGCCATTTAACCTAAAGAACACATAAACAATATATTTAAATCTAAGCAATATATTAAAATCTAAGGCATCTTCCTGTGCCTCAGAAGGATGCTACGCAAAAGAGGCACAGTAACAAGTTTGGAGGACAGCTCAATGTGATTACAAAAATCCCAAGCTTGACAGTGAAATCCCAATTCCTTGCACTAATTCTAGAGGCAAACAAATGCCATAAATGGACTGATAATGATATGTACTATAAACTTCACTTTTTAAAGAATTTTCACAAACTTCAACACAGTCGAGGCAATATTTGTTGGAATAGAGACAGATGAAACACTAGAAGTCCTCATCAAGTTTGAATTCAAAGTTCTTTGAACCATCTTGCAAGCTTGACATAACAGAAGCCTTCTGATAATCACCCACCCTTCTCTCAAAGAAGTTTGCTTTTCCTCTGTTAAAGCAGAAAAAAAATTCAGCCTCAACAGTATAAGGCTTGAGTGCCCACCATCAATAGGAGACCAAAAATCTCAAGCATGCATCAGATGCATATGGGGCATATAAGTGAAATGGAATAACCTCTACACACCTAAGAAAACAATTGGCATTGTCATGTTCTAAATGATCCGAGTCTCAAAATAAACTACCAATTTTCATGTTAGATTATATCAAGAATGCTATGCAAGAAAGAATATTTGAGGAGAAGCTATACAAGGCATGACATAAACCTATTGCTTGCAAAACCAGTACCTATCTGTGACATCAGCTGGCAATGAAAAATGTGGAATTGAAAATTATTTGTATGCTTTATAGTATTCAGTTCAGCTAAGGAAAAAAAGATTGTTGGCCGTACTCTATTCAAGTTAAAAATCAGCCTAGGACGAGATCCTAGTGATCAGAATCCTTCTAGAACCATGAGCACATTAGAACCAGTGGTCCAGACGCTAACCACCCAAAAACACCAGATGTGAAAAAATGAACATAGGCAGTTGAGTATAAAAAACTCGTCATTGAGTTTCTTCTAACTCTCGATAAAGTGTAAACAGGAGTGAAAGATATTCATTCATGTGCTATACTTACTGCAAGGAAATAAACTCCATCCAGTCAAAGGGGTTTTCTACATCGTACATTTTCTGGCACCCTAATGAAACCTGTAAAGCCGAAAAATTGAAAAAAATGGAGATCTTTCAGAATCAACATTCCTCTTTGCTATTCTAAGGGTAAAAGAGAAAACGACCTACCAATAGGCGATCAGCAACAAATTTGATGTATTGGCTCATTAGTGCAGCATTCATGCCAATTAATGCACAAGGAAGAGCATCACATACAAACTCAATCTCTATTTCAACAGCCTCATGGACAATTTGATGAACCTTTTGCCATTGTACTTGCTTCTGCAACAAACTGTACATACAGGTTAGAAATGACTCATCTTGGCATACAACAAGCAGCTTCCCACCCAAAAGAGTCAAATATGTGTGCCAAAAGGCTACAAAAATAGGGAGTGATCCTGAAACTATTACCTATTCATGATTTGTCTATGCAATATTACTCTAAAGAGTTTTAATTCTTGAATCCAATAAAAGACCAAAGAATGAAATAAATGATGACCAACCTGTATAAAAGGCAAGCAAAATCACAGTGAAGACCCTCGTCTCTTGAGATAAGCTCATTTGAGAATGTCAAGCCAGGCATCAATGCCCTCTTTTTAAGCCAAAAGATAGCACAAAAGCTGAGGAACAGAAAAAAAATGAAGCTAATCTCAAAATACATTTCAAAATTGCCAAATCCAGTTTCCATGAGAAAAAGTACCAGTAGAGTGTTAATCAAAACGTACCTCCCTGAGAAGAATATTCCCTCAACACAAGCAAAAGCTACAAGTCTCTCTGCAAATGAGCGTGAACTGCACGAGCAGATAAGTACAATGAGGAGCTGTTCGGGCAGAAAGACAAACTGCAGTTGTGAACGTACTCTATTCCAACATTATGTTAAACAACCTAGAAGAATAAAAAAGCAAAACAAAAGCATTAAACCAAGAACGATGTTCCCATTTCTAACAACCATTGTCAATGTATGATCCCCATAAGAAGGCAAAAGCAAGAAGCTGTTTTCTAGAAGAGAAGTTTTCCTGTCATTTTGGACATACATAAGCTTTTGGTTCCAATGTCAACAAAATCACCACTTCTCTACATCGATAGCATAAACATTGTGCTACACTGACAACCATCTAGTTCAACTTTAAAAGCTTCGACAATTATTCAGTTTACGTGTGATGACAGAGGAAGAAGCAGGAAGCATAGTAGTAGTAAGAGGATAAACTAAAGGTAAAAAAGTAATATTAATTGGATTGGAAAGATTTGTAATAGCATCCTTTCCCTTAATCTCAGCCTCCTGTGCAACCTTCAGCTACTTAGCCACAAAAAGAACGGGGAGACCATGTGCATGAATTTACCTCAAAAACAAGAAGAAAAAAAAAAGTGAAGACATGGAGAAATCAAACATTTCTAAGCTAAAAGTAATAACAAGCAAAGAGACTTATAAAGGCATTGCAACTGAATAGCTTGTATCTAACATGCATGTGTTAGCCATTAATCTGACAAGCAAATACAGGCTTCGTTCAGTCTTCTCTATATTCCATAAAAGGGGTAAACATCACAATATCCCTTTTCATTTTCCTCCAATAGATCAATTGGAGAAAAGAGTTAGAGAAAAGAGTGCACAAATTTGATAACTTAGAATCTAGTTCAAGGTTGAGAAAGATGATAAATTACCTCTGAATCCAATTCAAAGCCCACTTGGCCTTTTTAGCAACACAAGGAACAGTTTCCATGGCATTAAACAATCTATTCTTCTCTCTGGAGTCTTTGATGTACGTTTCCAAAAGCAAGCTGTACATCTCTACAAACAGAAGGAGAATATCACAATAGAGACCTCATGCATGTTAATTGCATCACAATGTTCTTCACTTGCAAATAAATACCAGAATGTATATTCTCAATGGCAATTTGAAAGCCATAAAATGCACGAGCCTGAAAACAATAACAAGAATCCATGTCAGTGTCAGTCATCTTAATCAAACACATTGAAAAATCCAATTAAATTTGGTAATCACTTAAATAAAGGGAAGGAAGCAAAACGGGTATTCCTTTTCCACTTTGTTTGGCAGCATAAAGCTCAGAAAATGCCAAGAAAAGTACAGAATGCATTTGATTATGAGAAACCTAGGCCATTGTTGCACCCAGCACTTATTGTACACAGCAAGCATATTGCAAGTCCAGAAAGTAACAATCTAAATAACAGAAAGTTCCAATTTCCACTTATTACTTTTGCTTCTTGAATGGATTGATGGTAAGGGCTTAGATTATCTACCTCTGGAATTTGAACATCTTTCAAGAACCTAGCAGCCAAATTTTCCAGAACGATCCCATCTGATGCAGCAAAAAAAGCCAGTACATGGCTTATAAAGTGCTTTTCAGAATGAGATAATGTTTCCCAGTGCTGCACATCCAGAGAAAGATCGACCTCTTCGGCTGAATCCCAGACATCAATGTTAGAACATTTAAAAGAGCAAACGTGCATCAACAAACTTTTCACTGAAAAGAGAAAATGAACCAAAAAATAAAAATCAGGTTATAACTTAGTTCACAACCAAGGAAAGAGAAACTGACCCCGAGTACACGTTAAACAAAATTTATAATCCGCTTATATTGACTGAAAGCCATAAAAGCTATTCAAAAGCAACAGTTTCTGGTTTGAGCACAAAGGTTAGAGTTGATAGCAGTGCTTCACTACGACACTAGAAACACTGACATTGACAAATAAGACCTTTAAATCTTAGAAGCATTAAGCATCAAAAGCAATTCTTTCACAAAACTCTTGATATGTCAACATAGCAAATCATGAATTTATACCTTGAAAGCTTGTATCTCTTCCCACATCGACTAGAGCCACCTAAGGATCATCTAAATTTGCCCTCTTCACTGCTATTAGACCATGGTAATTAGTTGCTAATAAAGTTTAAAAATGCCAAATGACCTAGAATTGCTCAACTGAGCTTCTTTTTCCTTTGTTAATTTTATAAATTTTTAAAACCATTAAGCAACGCTAGAGCAGCCAAGTCATTTGACTTGAGTTATGCCCATTACTAGCTCTCTAATTAAATTTAGTACCGTTTACAATACAGCATATATATATCTCATTGGACATAGTGAAACACAAACTTCATGTTGCAAGATATTCCACGTGCATCAACAGTCATAATCTTCTTTCAACAACCCCAATAACATTTGTTTTCCTTTGCCTAGCGAATATGGGTGCTGAGCAAAAAGCTTCTGCTTTTGCTTTTATCAAATCAAACAGGTACTTCAGCTTCTGACGGTAGGGTAGGGGTTGTCCTACCACAAACTAAGCCCGAGAACATCCAATAAGCCCCAATAACTTTGTCAATCATCACGAAAATAACCCACATAATTACATATTACTGCACAACTAATCATCTTTCTACTTTTCACTGAACTTCTTTTACTCCTTTTAGCAAAAATATAGTAGCAATTTTAACCCAAGTTCCTTTTTCAAGAACTAAAAAACCCATAAAGCATAAAACTTTCTAGAAAACCACCCTTAATGTACCTACTATAACAGAGCATCCAATAAAACAACTGCACAAGTCCCATAATAACCAAAAAAAATCAATCTTGATTCGTGAGCTGAACCCATTTAAACACTCATAACTCCATTCTTCCACGATGAAGATAAAAAATCACACCAACCCATATTTTAAAATTACCAGAAGTATATATATGAATGACAGAACCCATGTGCACATAAATTACAGTACTGGTTTTATATTCAATGCATGTATTAGGAGCATATTAGTAATATAACCTGTCCAAAAACTGGCTTCAGCCTTCTTGTACATTTCCCAAAGTTGAGGGTATTTAATGGGGAACATGCAGAATCTTTGAGATTGCTCCGTCAATATGGGTTCCTCTTCTTCCTCCTCGTCCACAAGACTTGCCCCTGTACAATTCCTCAAAGAACCCATTTTTCTTCTTGCTCTTCTCCCCTATCCCTATAGCATAAAAATAAAATTCACATGGGCATCGAGAAACAAATGAGTGGGTTTTGTAAGAAACAAAGAATGAGAGAAACCCTACAAAAACCCCTCCCGGAAGAAACAGACGAACCTGGTTATATATAGCCCAATCAAGTCAAATCCAGAAGAAAATTTTCCCTTCTCATTTTTTTATTTTTTAAATTTAATGGTGGCTTTTGGTTCAAGTTCTCTGCAATCTGCACGAACAGGCATCGCGAAACGGTGCCGTTTTCGAATAAAAGAGAGGTATAAAGTGAGTCGGCCCTGTTCTTTGGGTGCCTTGGAGCCCAATATTTGCATTAGATTTGGCCCAAATTTACTTGCAGAGTTTGGGTGTAATACATGTGGGTTAGTTTCAAGGGTCCGTAATAATGAGTAACGGATCTCCAGTATCCAGGCCCACACCTTCGGCACACGAATACTGGCTTACAAGTCCTTTGTAGGGTGCTCGTCTTTTCGTTTGGTTATTTATGCAAAGAAATCTGAATATCTCATGGGTAAACATGGTACACCTCTGAAAAAAAAAATAAAATTTCCAATGACTTTTCTGTGCATAGCCCAAATCCTTTTGCAGACACGAATCTAACCCTGATGGATGTGACAAAGCATGGAATTTAGGACCAAAGAAATATTCCCGTTTGAATTGCTATTTTTAAAGTTTTTATAGAAAACTGTAATGCATTCATTTGAAGTATGTGAGATAAAAAAAATAGTTAGAAAATATGTTTAGGAAAATAACATAAGAATATTTGGTAGAAAGTTACAATCCAAACACTAACTGAAGTATAGAATCAATGCCAAAACTTTTACATGCACAAATTTATTCCACTAATGCCATGCCCACAAAAAAGCTAAAAGCCCATTTCATTTGTAATTTTTAAGAGTTTTTATTAAAAAAACTTAATATAATAATATAATGTATATGACATAGAAAAATAGTTTAAAAATGTGTCAAATAAATATTTCAAAAATAACTTATGAAAAAAGTCGCAATTCAAAGGGGGCCTAACTTTTCTCGTCTTTAACCTCATTATACAACCAACTCCCTTTAAAGGAGTTGGTCACCACATTAATTATGGGGTGATCGAATCTTGTCTCTCATCAACGCGTCTCTATATCAAGATTGTTCTAAATCCATATTGGTGCGTGCTGTATCCGTCTGGTTCAATTCAGTTTAAAAAAAAAAAAAAAAAAAAAAAAAGGCCTCATAACACCCTACACGTCGTGAATTACGTAAGTACATACGTGGGCACTATTATTGTTGCTTAAGGCCCAATCCAGAAAGCCGAATCGCTTAGGCACTTCCATCATAGTTCCATGTTCCAAACAAAAAAAAGGAACCTTTAGTCAACCCGTCAACGGACATATCGTGGAAAACAGAAGAGGAGTGGACTGGAAGACTGCCATGGAAGCAACATAGGAAGTCTACAAATTTGTGGAAAACTACGCATTGATCAGTAGCGAGCAGGAAGAATTAGAAAACAAGCAAAAAGATGTCAGGAGCCGCCCAAGCCTCTGAGAACCCACCATCAAAGCTTAGCTCTGCTAAGTATGAAGCAGCAACTGTAGAAGAGCTTGGTGGCCTTCAAACATATATCGCTGGACCCCGTGATTCTAAAACTGCTATCATCCTCCTATCTGATGCTTATGGTAAACGAGCACATTTATATTTTTCTGCTTTTTCGTTCTTAGTTGTGTTTTTTTTTTCGGTTAGAGGTTGATTGCAGTGCTTTGAAGTTCAGGAAAGGTGTAGGTTTCTGCTAAATTATCGCTAGTTAAGATTAGGAAGTTGTTGCTGGAAAGGATTGACAAAATTATTCCTTGTTGAAGTGTATTTGTTATTCTGAATCTTGGAAATGAAACCACCACCAAAATTGAGCATGGCGAAATCCCAATTGATCATCTTCTTGAAAGTCTGATATGTTAATTAAGAGGGATTTTCAAACTATGGATGATCAGGAGGTGTTAGGTTTTTGTTTTTTAAGTTTTTTGTTTAAATTTATTAAAGAGTCAATTTCTTGGGAAAAAAAAAAAGCACATATTTTCTGTATGTTAGTATCGCTTATCTTGCTTGATGTGATCAATTGCAGGATATGAAGGTCCAAAGATAAGGTAAGTCCCAATTTTCTGTTTATGAATTTGTTATGGTTCTGAGAAAATATCCCAAGAAATTTTGGGAATTACAGAAAAAGATGAAATTTGAGGCCCTTCGTGACATCAATGGCGCCTTGAAATTGGTATATATCCAGAATTTAGTAAATGCAGAGAATAGGTTAAGAAAGAGAGATTGAAAATAGATATGAAAAAAGAAAAAAGCACATATCGGAAGATTGATGCAAAGCAATAACCTCGTGGTACTTCAATCATATTTACACTTGTGCACGTCTTTCTTTCTTTGGGTGGCATAGCAAAAGCTTGAGTCAACCAGCCACTCCTGTTGGTTGAGCATAAACGATATATACGGCAAGATTTCTCTCTTAAAGTAATTTTGAGTTGACTAAACAGCATGATTTGTAGGAATCCAGCATCGGAGACAATCCTTGTTAGTTTTACGTCTAGTTGTTAGGTTTCCTTCTTTTGAGGACCACTAGGTTGATCTTTTATTCCTGGAAACTGTCTTGAATGATTAGACATTTAATGTTATTGGGTTTTGGTTTTTCCTATTATGAAGGAGGCTTGCAGAAAATGTTGCAGAAGAAACTGGATTCTTGGTAGTGGTTCCTGATTTCTTCCGTGGGGATCCTATTGATAGCATAAGGGATCGTGCTGAATGGCTGAGGACTCATCCTGCAGTATGTTGTGATTCTTTCTGTTATTGAAGTTGAGCTGTAGCAATCTCAATGGATGCCTATCATTTGTAACAACAATATTCAGAATTTTCATTTTCCTAAAAAACTAGCTCTGACACAATGACAATTGAATAGCAAGAGGATATTTTCTGAAATTTAAGGGGACTGAACTTTTTTTAAAGATACTGAAGGACAAACTAACATATTGATATCTTTGGATTATTGAGTATCTAGTTCAAATTTATGTGTTTTTTGTTTCTTAAAGGACAAAGGGTGTGAGGATGCTATGGCAGTAATTGCTGCTCTGAAGAGCAAAGGAGTTTCTACTATAGGGGTAGCAGGGTTTTGCTGGGGTGGTAAGGCATCTTTAATGTTTATTGAGATAGCTGCAGTTTTCAACCTTTCATATAGCAAATTACTGGAGCTAATTGGTTGCCTGCTGTGTGTACATTCTGCTCTTATTTCAGGAATGACTGTTGTGAAACTAGCAAGATATGATAGTATTCAGGTTGCAGTTATACTGCATCCTGGTCCGATCACTGAGGATGACATTCGTGGTTCGTTGTTGCAATTATCAAGTTTGATTTCCTTGATATGTCACTGTGAAGGAAATACAGTCCCCTATACTCCAATTGATTGAATAGATTATTTGTCATTGCAGAAGTTAAGGTTCCAATTGCTTTACTTGGAGCTGAGACGGATCATTTATGTCCACCTGAGCTTTTGACTAAGTTGAATGGCATTTTAACTGAAAAACCTGAGGTTTGAAACTTGAACTCCTCTACTGCTGCTCAATAGGTTCAATAACTCACGTCTTCAGAATCTACTAACTCCTAAAAATCTCTGTAAATTTTTATTCTAGAGCCATTCATGATTCATTATGCTTCAAGCAAATTTATGGCGAATAACTCTTAACCTGATGGCTTGTTGAAGCTACAGAATGCGCTGCAAAGATCCTTAGGACAAACTCCTTTGGTTGTTTAACAGGTCAATAACTTCTTGAAGATATACCCTGGCGTAAAGCATGGATGGACACTACAGTACAGCGACGACGATGAATTCGCTGTTAAGATGGCAAAAGAAGCTCACTCAGACATGTTGAACTGGCTTACCAAGCATGTCAATTAGAGTGAACAGACAAAAAAAGGAATAATGATTTCCAGTCGAATCAAAGTACGAATTATCATGCCTCTGAAGGCTGGAATGCTCAAGGTAATGGTGCATTTCACCATGGCTTGTTTGAATAAAAATTCAGAATTGGTGTATCTTCTTGTGCCTTATTTGAATAACAAGTCAGAACTGTGCTTTATGTTACTACATGTACTGCAACTCGCATGGATGATTCCACATGTCTTGTATGTGGATCCTAGAATTATATATGCAGAAATTGGTAATACTCTAATTTTCCATAAATTTATGTGTGACCTTTCTAGTCATCTGCGATCCACTCACAACAAAGAATCTTGATAAAATCCTTTTACTTGTTTGGATGACTCTTCTGTATACTTATTGCTTTTCCCTGGGCAGAATCTGTATTTTGCTTTAGCCTTTTACGAATTAAGGGTTGCTGGCACTATTTTTCCTTGTGAAATGAGAGTCTTTGAACACTACAAAGATCATACACTGACCTTTTCTAGATGGGCGGAAAGTGGTGACTAAGAAATTAATTCCTTGATCTTCTCGGATACAATTGAGGGAGTTTTCACCTGAGTGGAATGTGCAACTTGAGCTATTGTGGCCTTACTTTTGAGAATGAAAACTTCCTAACAAATTAACTCAAATGTAGCATTGGGACAACAGCTCCTGTTCTTACAGATGCACTGAAATCACGCGACTTTCATCTGCATTGGCAAGCATGTTGAAACATGAATTGGCTATTAAGTTTTGAGCAGCAAGAAATCAGCTATTCTTTCCCAGTTTTCGCACCCAATCCAAACAATTCAGATTATTCTGAATTTCTCCCACATGAACTGAACTTTATGTCAAAGGAATCATCTCTGTCCCGCTATCAAGTAGCGTAAAATTTGGATTTGGATCGGAGATTATTTGGAACGATTACTATAACAATTTTTCATGATACAATGTATATAACATAAAAGGATCGTTGGAAAGATGAAAAGGTAATTGAAAAACGTGTTTGTGATGCAAATAAATAATTTTTATTCGCCAAGAAAGCTAATCCAAATGCACCAATTAAACACGCTAATCAAGCAGACACAAAAGCCATTTGCGATACAGATAAATAAATTTTATTTGCCAAAAAAAAAAAAAAAAAGCTAATCCAGACGCACCAATTAAACACATTGATCCCTCTCACGTAATGGCTGATGCAATTTTCAAGAAAACAATCTCGAGTGACCCTTTCTTGTGTAATTTTGATGGTACATGGAGAATTATTTATTTGTTGGACACAAACATTGCTATATTTTTTCAATGTTTCGTTGGCATATGACAAAGTGGTTTGAGACAGCTGAACACACCAATCTTAAACTGTTTGATGAGTACAATTCATATATCAATTGTCTAAGATTCATCCGAGTAATAAAACAAAGTCTGCTGCAAGGTCATCATTGCAAGAGCAGGTAATTTTTTTTTCCCGGCTGACGCCTTCTTTACTGGAGTCTGGAGTGTCAACCAGGGTAGCTGTTGCCGGAGAAAGTTCTGTCTCAAAAAGTTGCGACTCAGAAACATATTACTGGAGTGTGTTTGGATTACACATTTATTTCTGTCTTATTTACACACACTGATTTACTTGCATCATCAACACATTTTTTAATTATATTTTCATCTCACGTACATCACGTAAAGAAAGTATAACAATATTTTTTTACAAAATTATCTCAAATAATTTATTATCCAAACACACTCTATAATAGTTGATTATAACGGACCCTTCTTTCCCGTCAAGCCTGACCATAGCAACCGTGCTTATTAATGATTAGTTGGATCCGACAAATATATTTGTATGTTGATTTTAGCTGGTATTTGCTTTCTTGTCAAAGCACACAATGGGCTGAATGTCATATTTATTCAACAACTGAACAAGAGAAAAGACATGCGGAAAAAAAAAAATCCATTCCTTGGCAACTGTGCTAGATACCTGCATGCAGGACCTTACCTTCTTGTCAATCATTCAGGAATGGTAGTTGCCAATCATTCTGGATGTTGGGTTAGTTTATCCTATCCTGAATGATCTCAGCATTGGAACACCTCATACCGATGAAAGGGTTGCGGAAAGGTATCACTGCAGGACTAGGCAATAGAAACAAGACACGGAGATTTTTTTTTTTTTTTTCCCGACAAAAATAGCCCGTTTCCTTGTTGATTATTAATTGGTCTTGACTTTTGTGGCGATGGCGATATAATAAGGACTGCAATCTCTCTTCCTCGGTGTCATTATTGTCTTGCAAGTTTTGTCATTGTCCGATAAAGGGAGCTCGTTCCACGGGGTTGCCATCTCAAAACATCAAATAAATTTCTATCCTTTGATCAAATATAGAATTGAAATGGTTAATGTAGCTATTAACAGAACTAAATCTTGAGCTAATTATCTATAAAATTTTCAAGAACTATTTTTGGACAAGAACAGTTTGGAAAAAGGTTTGGAGATTTTGCAAATTCATTTTCCCACCACATTTTTTATTGTTCTAATCATTCTTCTATTTCACATATATTACCTCACAAAAAAAAATTATTAAATAATTCTTTGTTCAACTTATCTTCAATCCAACCACACAAAACTCTGTAATTAATTCCTCAAGATATCATCTAAGTGGTCCATATCATGCTCGACTTTGAGTGAGAGAACTTGCGTACAGAATTCAATTTCTTTGTCGGCATATTCCACGTTTGCCAGCAACTACTAAGTATGATAAATAGACATTTTGATACTCCTCTAGTACGTTCTTGCTCCAATTAAGCATTACTGTACTATTTGGAAATCTTCTGAGAACAAGGGATGTCAGGTCCACAGTGCTGTGAAAATGCACCAAGCTTGAGCTCCGGTTCTGGAGCTGGGCATGTGGAAGAACTTGGAGGCCTCCAATCTTACGTTACTGGGTCTGCTGATTCCGAGATTGCTGTTTTGCTTGTCTCTGATGTTTTTGGTATGCTTTTCCCTCCAAAACTTATCTGGGATTTTGAGAGTTGCAATCTTTCGTTCTATTTAGTCCGTAGTTTGTTGGATAAATTATTTGGTCTTATCCAAATTTGTACGTTTATGGTTTCTTTTGTTAGCGTCTGAAAGTGTGAACGTGGTCGGGTGTTAGTTTTTTGTTAATATCTTACTGTTTTGTCAATCATCATATCTTGTTTTTACATACTGATTATTAGCAAGGGTCAAGAAATTGCAGAACAAAGTACCCTCCCTCGGAGTTATATGATTTCTTGTCTTTTTACCTTCCTTTTGTTTGTAGTGGAAGCTACTTTTACTAGGCACTTTATTGTTAAAGGTACTCATGTAGTTATCTTGGATCCAGAATTTTGGATATGTATTATATGTGCATTATCTGTGCATCCTGTTCCCCTGGCATCAGAGCTGAAAAATTTTGGCTTCTCTATTGTGACCTTGAAATCATAACCTCCAGCGGAAGGCAAATTTTTAACTCATGGTTCATTTTGTGCAGGATATGAAGCTCCAAAGTTGAGGTATGAGATTTAAGAACCTCTTCCCTTTAGGATTCTTCTAGTTTTTGGTTGGTTTTCTTCTTCTTGTCCTGGGAGGAAACTGGGGGGGGGGGGGGTGTTGGAGTGTTTTTATTTCTTTGTTGCCTTTTTTCCTTAGGCTGGGCTTCCATTCACATGAAATGAAAAGCAAGCTTGTGTCTAATACATAATCTGACTTTAAGAGTCACGCTCATGTATGTTTTCCATCTTGTTTCCTCCATTATTTAGAAAAAAGATGAAGCTGGGACACCATTTTCTGTGTCTATAAGAGGATAAACAGCATCTGAAGTTCCTGGCTTAAATATAAACATACCAGCAGCATTTGTGTTGTTCTACTTCTTTTGGCATCATACAGTTCTAATGTAGTTTATGTACATGCTACTAAGCTGTCGCTTATCAACTAAAGCTACTGAGCTGCAGTCCTGTATATAGAGTAATCCTATGCAGTAAAAAGTAATATGTAGTAATATGTGATTTCTAAACTATTGTATTATATTTTCAACTGTGAAGGAAGCTTGCAGACAAAGTTGCAGGGGCTGGATTTTTTGTTGTAGTTCCAGATTTTTTTTTCGGAGATCCTGTACTAGTGTTAGAGGGGACTGATCTTGATGCTTGGCTGAAGAAACATGGACCTGTAAGCCTTCTTCTTAGTAACAGCCTAATCACTGTTTTTTTGCTGAATTCGATAGCTGGAGGTGACTACAGTGATTAATCTCTGCATTGGATGCTATAATTTCCTTTTACCATATCGGGAGTTCTGTTTTTCTCTCCAGTTTGAACCATGCCAAGATTTTACATAAATTAATTATTTTAGATCTCAGACTTCATGCTGGTGCTTCCTGAACGGCGGGTTTGTCTTTTTATTCTGATTTGTGGGATCAAATATTGAACCAGTCAAAGCTATTTTGCCATTGGCACTCTTAAAAGCTAAAGTATAGCTCATGACTTTCCTTTTGCTATATTTTCTACATTGCATTCATCTGGGATAGCCCAGTTATGGTTGGAACATTTCATTCATGAGAGTTGGATTTGCCACAAGTCTTCTGCACAGGAAATATTATCAACATTACACTTTTGTTGTTTTGATTTGGGGGTTCTTACACTTATCTTGGCTATTTTAGACTGAAGAACATTTGGCAATGTTCAATAATTTAGATAACTAGTGTGAATGAAGGTCAGAGGTTAATATCTTGAACATCAACATTCACTTAAGTCAATCAGTATGACTTTTGAATGGCAGATTTGTGCCCGTAAAGAATGGAGTTAAACTGAAGGTAATACCTTTACACAAATGTACTAGTGTATGAGTGCAACTTGTGGTGCATGCGTCATACATTGATAATTTAGAATTCCATGAGGTTTAAATTTACTTTTATGATTAGTGCCCAGCTCTTGTTTGTGCATTTCATTCATCAAAGTTGACAATTAAAAGAAAAACAAGAAACCTCTTTTGCGTCAGGAGTTTTCATGTACATCAATCTAGTTTTCTTGATTTGGGCATTTTATTATACCTATCTTTAGTTGGCTATTATAGACCGAATGATGTTTGACTGAGTTAAATTCCCGGACAACAAAGCTGAATGAAGATCTGAGGTTTATGTCTTGAATCTAGGATTCAGTTTAGTATCTTCGTATGTATTTAGAATGGCAGACTTGTGCCAGTAAAGAACAGAGTGGACTGAAATGCTTCTCTGGTAATACCGCTTCTCAAAAAGACTACTCAATGAATGCAAAAATGTTTATTCTACACCATACATTGATAATTCAAACTCCATCAGATTTTGATCCACTTCTCTGGTTAGTTTCCTTCTCTTTTCTTCTTTTCCATATCCTTCTGGTCGATATTAAGTTGGTAGTAATCTTCCTTGCGCTTTCAGATTACCTTCTGAATCTGCTAGAATAATACTTACTGGTTTGGCACTTATTATAGTTCATTCTAAATCTTGGGTGCCACCTTTAAAAGTCACCTTCCATGAGTAAGGGTGGGAGGACTGTGCCTGTTCAAATATTAAAACTCTACTAAGCTTTTTCTGAGTCCTAGATTGGAAATATTTATCTAGAAAACTTCTTTTTTGCAAAGGATCAAGGCTTCGAGCATGCAAAGTCAGTCATTGAAGCTCTAAAAGGCAAAGGCATCACTAAAGTTGGAGCTGTAGGCTTTTGCTGGGGAGGTAAGATCTTTTTCTGGACAAGTGACAACAGTTGCTAGTTTAATGTTTCCAAGTGTCCAGTCTGCTTCTCCGTTCCTAGGAAAGATTGTAATTTGGTTTTCTTTAGTTTACTAACACCAGTTCTTACATTTTCAGCAAAAGTTGTTGTGGAACTAGCAACATATGCCTGTATCCAAGCTGCAGTGATTTTACACCCTGCTTTCGTCACTTTAGAAGATATTCAGGGTATAGACCTGTTCTTAACCTTTTTCTTCTTCAATTTATATATGGTTATCAAAAACTGGGGCATTTATTCAAGACATATTCATCTTTACCTAATTTGAACTGTATAGTTCTATATTCTCTGGCATTTTCGTAATGCATGCCATTATTTTGAGTCGCTTTAAACTAGTTCTCCTTTTTGCATACCTGTGATTGCTGTAGCTTGACTTGATTATCTCCAGGTTATAGTTTGGAACTCCTAGTAAATTATACTGGATTTTAGATTTGGGAGGTTTGGTGGCTCTTCTGGCTTCAGTTTTATGAATGCAATAAATGAAACTTTTTTGTGGTATATTTTAGGGGTCAAAGTTCCAATGTCAATATTGGGTGCTGAGACAGACCACACAGGGCCACCAGAGCTACTGAGAAAATTTGGCCAGGCCTTGGATGCTAAGCCTGAGGTAAGAAACTTAAGATACTTTTTATCCTTTTAAATCTGGCGCCTGTCTATAAGCTATCTGTTTAGTTGTCACATCCTATAGTTCTTCCATACTTGCTCTTTGTCTAACCGTTTGAATAGTTCCATCTGTACATTGAAAGGCCTAAGCCCATTAGAGACTGACTGAGCTGAAATGCTTAGTTTAGCATCCTTTCCTACTCTTGCAATTAAATTTCAAGTTGTCCAAATCAGAGTTGATCAAAAGTTTTGAGATTTATCAAAGTTGACAAATGAGGAGGACGTACGTTGACAGGGATTTTCTTGCAGGTTGATGGTTTCGTGAAGATATTTCCTGGGGTTGCTCATGGATGGTCTGTGAGGTACAAGGATGAAGATGAAAAAGAGGTGAAGGCAGCAGAAGAGGCTCATCAGGATTTGTTGGGTTGGTTGGTTAAGTATCTCAAGTAGCTCTCTTCAAAAGTTGCATCCTATTCCATTTAAGGATTCAGAAGTCCGTTGTTCCCTGTTGTTGTATTTTGATTTTTCAATGTTTGCTGTGTTCGAGATTTCGTTTGAAGTTATGAAAAGATTACTCCATCGGTTGGCCTTTGATCTGTGCTCGAGCATACATACGTGGTTTTTGATTTTTTTTTTTTTTTTCATTTTGTGATTATGATTCCTTTTATTTTTTCTTCAAAAAGCAAATTGCTAGACAACGATACGGAATTAGAGGGATCCCCATCCGTACTCAGAAACTGTCGCTCTTATTTCTTGACCGAGCAAATTGTCATCAGATAATAATCTAAATTAGAAGGACATCCTTATCTCTGTACTCAAAATTGTTCCATCAAACGTGTACTTAATGATGTAACATCATGATAATGTAGACCCACGTAAAAAAAGAAATGATATGCTTGACCAGAGCTGCATTCTTTGATCACAGATTACTACATGTGTTCAAAGAAATCCAAGAGAACTGATTATTATTATTACTATTTTTTTTTTTAATACAGAAAGGTGAGTAATGGAATGCATAGGATTCATTGTATATATGGATGCAGAGGTCTTTTGGTGACTTTTGGACTTGGTATATTAAACAAATTAAGGGATACAAATTAAAGCACCTAGATATATATGTAGTTGGCATTAGGGGTGCACGCGAGCACTTGGCTCGAACTCAGGTTGACCGAGTTCGAGCCGAGTTTCGAGTCAAAAATCCCCGGCTCGAGGCTCGTCGAGCTACTCGTCGAACCGGGGTTATTTAAATAATATATATGTATTATAATTATAAAATGACCATTATGGATATAAGTTATATGGAATTTATAAAATATCCTTCGTTATCGAGCCTTATCGAGTCGAGTTTCGAGCTTAGAGCGAGTACATCGAGTCGAGTTTCGAGTATTAATTTTTTTGACTCGATCGAGCTCGAGCCAAGCTCGACCCTAGGGATATATGAGTCGAGTCGAGCTCGAGTATAGGCTCGATTACATCTCTAGTTGGCATGCATGCTTCTTGTATTATATTTAAAGAAAAATGAATGCTCAAAGTGGTAATTCATGAAATTCTCAAATTGCGTTAAATCCATTGCCAAATTATCATCCAATAAATGGTCTTCTGAATCAAAGTCCCTTGAATCTTCATCTTCCAATTTAGGGCCTAAATGTCCTTCAATTCGCCTTTGCTCTAGTGGGTCTCGATGTTGCTCGATCTTCATTCCACCCGTAGCCTTTAGGCGAAGCAAAACTCGCCACAGTTGCCTCACAACCATGCCAAAATCGATTATTCACACCTCCTTTGGCTTCAAAATGCGTAAAGTTGTTTTGGTTTTAATTACGATTATACCTGAAAACAGCATTTGTATTCATCGACATTAACAGTGCTTCACCGTTTCTCATTCGCAATAACGGAGCCAAAGTTCTCGGACAAGGGTTCAGGTTCGTATCCAAATTCCACATGCCAAAAAGTGGAATCCAAGATTCTTCGTTGCCATATTCTTTCATTGCAAACACTTCAAAATTCCCTGATAGACAAGTTTCCTTATCCCAGCAAGTCATACAAAATGCCCAGACCAAGTATGCTGATTTCTTGCCTGTTCTTTGACCGAGGCATTGGAATCTCCTGAACTTCATCAGTCTTTGGATCGAAAGCAACGATCTTATGAGATAAATGGAGCCTCAAATAGCAGCAACCCTCAACGTTATCAACAACTCTCCAGTGCAGAAAACCATTGAATAAAACCACCCCCATTAATGGTCTCATATGTAAGATAAGGAAATCTAATCTCCTTCCTGCAGAGTTTATCCTTCAATCCTGCTACTATCACATACTCATCATCAGGACTATCGAAATGGTTATAATATAGACATCTAAGCCCAAGAACAACTTTGTAGTCGTCCATAGCCGAGTCATAACAAAACCAAACCCGCAGAGTACATAATTATAGCTGCATCCAAAAACACCTGGATACATAAACTTTACCTCTAGAACTGTGCAGTAGTTCCTTGTTGAAGGGTTCCACAAGAGGAAATCAGTGCCTAAAAGTATTAGCAACAAACCATCACATGCGCCTGCTATCAATTCAAAAAATTCGTTATGGTATCCTTGCCTCGTTCTCATCGGATGGAGCCATCACGTACTGTCCAAGAAACGATCTAGGAGATAGGTTTCGCTGTGCATATCGAACGATGACATAAAAACTGCCGTGGATCTAGGATTCAAGAAGGAAAATTCTGGATCAGATATTACAGAATTCCAAAGCTTACACGCACACTTGAATCTTAATAAGGACTCGATGGGAAGTATATTAGAGGTAATTATTTCGTCTGGGATGTTAGGAAGGGCTACTGTTGATGGCGGCTTGGTTGTTTCTGGTTCTGGACATGCACAAAACTACACCACATCACTCCAGGACATTTTTGACGTAGCCATGATGATATTCAAGGGAGCTGTCCCCCGATGATCAAGAACTTATGAAGAGTGGCTTGGTGGATAATAAGTTTCTAGGGTTTGTTTCGATAGGTACGAGGCATTGTCTTTAAGGCTTCCGAATTTATGCTGCAGCATTTGGAAAAAAGGGGGAAAAAAAGACGGCGATAATATGTAGAAACTACGAAGGAAAGAGAACATATTTTTTGTGAAGGGATTGAACTCTTTTTTCTCAAGAATTTTAGGGAGGGGCCAAAAAAAAAAGAATTTTTCCTCTGGACACTTTAATGCACTTTCTACAAAAATGTGCAAACCAAACGGCCGGAACTGTCCTTCTTTTTTGAATCAATATCAAGTGCAATTAATTGGCAGTCAATTCAATTTGATTTTCAATGAACAACAGGGCCCTCTATCACTTTCCAACATGAACAAATAAAGAGACAGCCAAGAAAGAGCGTCAAAAATACAGATTAAGAATCCCACCCACTCGACACAATTGATGATTAGACTATAGCACCATAAAAATTGATCATTTTTCATACTTCTCACCAGTTGTTGCTTCATTATCTTTCTGCAAAGTAGATTTTGAGAGCGACTTCTCCGATCAAAAAACGACAATTCTACTTCCCTTCAAAGACCAATTGCAATATATATATATATATATATATATATATATATGTATGTATGTCTCCTGCAGGGAGCGTGCAATGCAGGATGTGGAATTCTTTAATAAGCTTGCTAATCAACAACTTCATCATTCATAACATTTCCCGCAAAAGGGTTAAATTTCACGTCCTTTGTTCATAAATTCACGCCTTCATATCTTGCATTAAAGACCTGCACGAGGTATAGGGTTAAGAGCAAAATGACAACCCCATGAATTGGAATTAATGGCTCGGTATGTGCGCAAGACCATAATTTTGCATCCCGTTGATAACTTAAGCACCAAAGTAATGCTCTACTATTCACTGACTAGTGCGTATTACTGCTAATGATAATACTAATACTATACTCCCTCCCTTTTTTTATATCTGACGTTTAAGAAATTTGCTCTTAAGTACTTTTATCTGCCGTTGTATTATCCCCATGCAGCATCAATTATTTTTTCACAATTTTACCCTTTTATCTCTCTTTACCAATACATGGCTCTTAATTACTACTCCTAGTAATTATTACTTCTCTCTTTGCTTTTGGCCTAGTAAAACAGCACCATTTAATACTCTAGTGAGAGAAAACATGAGTGAATTGGATAATTAATGAGGGTACAAAAGGAAAGTAGTGTATAGATTTAAACAATAAAAAATTTTTCTTAATTGGCGTGTAAAATCAGTTATAAAAAAAGGGAGGGAGTATAATATAAGCACGCAGTTACTATTGTATATCTAGAGTTCTGGTGTGAACACGTGAATTTTGTCAAAGCAAAGTTAGTACTAGGCCACTAGCTCGTCATTACCGTTCCTGTGGTCCTTAAAATTGTACTCCTAACGAAAACGCAGCATTTCCCATCATTGATCCATTGATGTGATTGTCGTCGTCTCTGTTAATGACATGATGAAATCAACTGATCGCACATGCATTTCTCCTAGCTATATATCAACGTAGCCTTATCCATTCCCCAAAAGAGGGGAAAAAGATAAAGAAAATCAATCTACTTAAAAAAAATTTTCGTAATCTATTGTTGATAGTACTTCATCAGTATTGTTCGAGTTTAAATCAGGATTAATTTGCATGATTTGTCTCATATTTCTTTAAACATATTAATTGCGTAAATAGTAGTATAAGGATTATGTGAGAAATTTTGTGTTTGGATTGCAATTTTCTAAAAAAAATTACTACGTTTTTCGTAGACATATTTTCCAATCACCTTTTGACCTTACACGTATCAAATATTTGCAGTAATTATTCTACAAAAAGTTCAGAAAAATGCAATCCAAACAAAGCTAAATTTCTTTAAGATCTTCAAACTTGACTAGTTGATCTTATTCTCCTAAGGGCATTTAGGCTAATTTCTGTGCTTAAAGGATATCTTTCCAATTCAAATCAACTTTGAAGGAAAATATTTAATGGCCAAGAAACAACGAATATGAACTCTTGTAATAATTTGGTGGCAACATAGATAAATACTACATGGGATGGGAGAGCTTGACGTTGGCTTTGTCATGCAACATACTATATTACTAGTAAAGTATGATAGTGTTTGTTTCTAATTGTATCTCGGAATCCACTTTTGGAGAGCCCATGTGATGCACATGCAACTCTCTAATCGCTGCTTAGTGCCAAATGTGGAAAAGCATTTCAACTAAACCGCAGGTTGGATGTGTTAAATAGATGGAAATTAGATGAATGCTTAATTATTGTCCGGTTTGGATTGCTCAATTTTTTTGAAATTTTCTTAGAAATATATATTGTAACGATTTGATTTATGTGAGATTAAAAAAAATAATTAAAAACTATATTCATAAAAACCGTAGAAAAAGGGTCTCATTAACATGCATATTCAGTAGAAATTGAATTTACGAATTTGTCAATTGTGAGTTGATGAACAAAAAGGAAAAAAAAAACAAATTCTTTTGTTATATGTACTCATGAAATAGAAAGTGCTACACAAAACAAAACCAAGAATAATTAATGATGGTAGAATTGATGAAGCAGGAGTAGTTTCTACTTCGTGGATCATGGGAATTTA